AAAAAAAAATTAAAAAAAAAAAAAGAGGGAGAAGCATGGAGCTATAAACAGAACCAAGTCCAGCCGCCCCAGCCCAACCAAGCCCTTTTGCTCCTGGCTATCACAAGCCAACCCACACTTCCATCCAGAGTTCATTCACTGGACCCCATCCTCTGGCCCACTCACCAGGTACCAGCATGCTGGTGATGCCCCCAGTGTGCCCCACCCCCAGCACATCTTCAAAGGGGCAGAAGTGAAGGCCATGCACGTGGCCTGAGAGCCGGTGGGTGAGGTAAGGCTGCTCCAGGGAGGGCAGGCTGGCCTTGCCCTGCCCCGCCCATATGTTGACCACGTCACCCATGCCTGCAGCCAGCAGTCCCCGCTGGGAAAAGACCAGGTGCCCTGCTCCCTGGGGCAGGGTCCGAGCACTCAGAGGCTGGAACGTCCCTCGTAAATCAAAGATCTTCAGCTGGTGGTCCAGGCCAGAGGTGGCCATGTACCTGGTAGAGATGGGGAGGTCAATTAATCTGCAGTGTGGGCTTACTGTGCAGGTCTATAGCCAAGTGCAAGCATAAAGTCTCGGTGGGGAGAAACAATTTTTATTTCCCTTTTACAGATGAGGAAACTGAAGCTCAGAGGAAGATAATCAAGTAAGAGTGAATGGTAGAGCTAGAATTCAAGTCCAGCCTGTCTCTTTAGTGTCTCTTCTCCCTCTTTTTTTTTCTTTTAATATTTTAACGTTTATTCATTTTTGAGAGACAGAATGTGAGGGGGGAGGGGCAGAGAGAGGGAGACACAGAATCCTAAGCAGGCTCCAAGTTCTGAGCTGTCAGCACAGAGCCCAATGCGGGGCTCAACCTCACAGACCATCATGACCTGAGCTAAAGTCAGACACTTAACTGAGCCACCCAAGCGCCCCAATAGTGTCTGCTGTCTTAATCAAAGGGACAGTGCACACACCCATCTGTACCTAAATGAGATGTTCCACTGTACCCACAGGGAGTACAGTGGCTCAGCAAAGAGAAGGATCAACAGCAGTGATCAGGGAGGACCTCTAGGAGCTGTTCTAGGTCATTCTCAAGAAACATAGCAAGTACAAATGAATTACTATCAGAGTGTGGAGATGATGAAATGGAAGCAGAGGTCTGTTTTTGGGATCAGTGGGAAATGTCAGGAGGATCACAAGATGACAAACAGCAGGGGCTCTTTAAACTCAGACTGAGGACACAGAGTCCCCAGCACTGCTCTCCAGCAATGACAGACCACAACTGGAAGATTGTGAGGACCTGAGAAAACCTTAGGAAGTAATGAAGTAATAAGCTAGGAGGCCCTGCCCCACCCCCCCTTTCCCTGGAAAAAGGGAGGGCAATCCTCTCAAGGAATCGTGCACTGTAGTTTGTTTTCCAAGGTTGGAGTTTCTATGTTCATGATGTTCCTCAGAGAGGGAGGCTAAAGGGCGACCAGCCAGGCCAGGGTATGTAAGTTTGCTAAGGGGCCACAGACTCTCTTTTTAGCCTTGGCTGTGAGCCAAAGAAGAGGGTACCAAAGGACTCCTATGAAAGGGACTAGCCTAGTGATGGGGCTGAATAGAGGCCCAGGTGGACACTTCTCCTCACAAGACAATCAGGGCCCCAGCTGCATCAGATGGAAAGACCATCAATGCAAATCAGGAATTACGGAGGGCTCCTGGGACACAGGTCACACCCTTCAGTCAACCCACAATTCAAGGGAACATACTGGTTTCTCTCCCCACACATACCTGCCTTTGGGATCCCCTGCACAAATACCAGCCCACTGACCAGAGGGCATCCAGGCTACACTACCATGCTACTAACCCTGCAGAAGACAGTCTAGTTCTAAGAATCCCATCCAGTCCTAATGCCAGCTTCCAGAATGCCTCGAGGAAGCCAGTAAGCCTCATCTTGAGCCCCTGTGGCTTATCTGAGGTGCTCTTGAGAAGAACCAGAGATAAGCAGAGTTGGGCCAAGATCAAGGACCAGATCTGTACTCAAGGTATTGACCAAATCTCAGGAAACTACGTGATTAGGCCTCGGGCACAGCAGCAGCTGACCAAAGCAGTCTAGGGAAGGCAAACGACAACATAGGTTCAATGGCCCACAGAAAGCATTCTCCTAAAGCCAAACTAGCACAAATACAGAGTAAAAATGGTTGAAGCATATCTCTCGGCCCCTAAGGTACAACTACGGGAGGGCAAGGGGGTCTGAGCATCTGGAAAATTTTTATAAGTTGGGGACTACTGGGCTATTCCTTTTCCAGACTTTTAAAAAAAAAAATTTTTTTTAACATTTATTTTTGAGAGAGCATGCAAGCATGCAACTGGAGGGGCAGAGAGAGAAAGAGAGAGACACAGAATCCAAAGCAGGCTCCAGGATCTGAGCTGTCAGCACAGACCCTGATGCGGGGCTTGAACTTGCAAATTGTGAGATCATGACCTGAGCTAGGGTCAGACGCTTAGTGACTGAACCACCTAGGCGGCACCCCCCCCCTTTTTTTTTTACAGGCTTTCTTTGAAACCATTTGAAAATAAAGTGATGGAGTTCACATTTCATGTACAAGATTCCTGAGCAGCAGTGTAAAAGAAGGAAAGCAGATTAGTCTGCCAGCAGCACCCAGGACTTGCCAGCAGGAGGAACAATCAGAGGCTGGAAAGTGTCTGTGAATATCACATGTGTTCAATAGGAGGCAGCAAGAATGGACAGAAATGGACCTCAGAGAGGCCCTTGAGGGGAAAGCAGCCAGGACCTCACAGGGGAGCATGGGCAGTAACGAAAGGATGCCACCAAAACAGGCAGTAGAGCCTGGGCACCCAGAAAGCACCCAGTCAACAGCAATTTGGTTCCTGCCCTTACTGATGGCTGAAGATCACAGGGCAATGGAGCTAGCTGGAGGTGTCCAGTCAAATTCTGGGTGACTGGAAAGTGTGGCAGAAAAGGAGCAAGCCTGGAGGAACTCTGGGGAGTGGGGTGACCTATCCCGCGATGGACACATTAAATCTGGGGCAACAAAAGACAACTTAGTAGGAACTAAGCGTGTCTCCTGGCTAATCATTTCCGTCAACCACAGTCCCGTTTCTGAACATAAAGTAGAATACTGCCCCATGACAGGCTCAACAGCCCATTCACCCTTGTACCCCCAGAACCTCAGCACAGAGCCTAGTCCGCAGCAGGTGCCCAGTGAGTGCCTGACAATGAAAGGAATTAAGAGGAACATCCACTGATCCCATTAGAGGGAACTCATGCAGAAAACAGTACACCAGGTCCGCACATATGTACGCATCAGACAGCACAGCTGGGCAGCAGCAAACTCTCAGGAGAGGCAGCAATTTGAAGCAGGCCCCCTACTCCTACCCCTCACATCACCAGCCAGAACTCAAGAGAACGATCATCTTCAAGGATGCCAGTGGTGAAAGCCAGTGCTCCGTACTCCCTGGGCACCACGCTAAACCCTACAGGCTTTAACTCGTGTTGACACGGGCCGCCTGTGACAGCCTATGAACTAAGCCCAGGGCTTGGCAAACTACAGCCCATGCACCAAACAAATCCAGCCCACCACCTGCTTCTGTACAGCCCTGGAGCTCCAAATGGTTTTTACATTTTTAAGTAGTAGGAAAAAATAAAAAATCTTTTGAAACAGGTACAGGAGATTCAAATTTCAGTGTCTGCAAAGTAAGTTTTACTGGAGCACAACCACATGCTTCATTGGCTTCTTCTGGGGCTGCTTCTGCACCACAAGAGCACAGGAGAGAGGTCAACACCAACACCACATATGGCATCTCATCTCTGCACCACTGTGGGCACACCACAACTCACAAGGACACCATTATAACTGGACAACGTTTCAAGCGCCACCTATCTCACGATCTGTGTGAAAGAGGTTTTCAAAGACAAATAGGTAAAATCTCTTCTCAGATCAATGCTAACAAGCATTTGCAAATGAGTTTGATGATTTAGAATACTGTAACTTTTAACCTTAACTGAGCAAAATGTTATCCTCAAAAAGAGGAATCCAGTTCTTCCCATCAGACCTGTATTACAAAAATGCTATATTCAATTATTATATTCTAAGTTTTATTGCCTAAAAATTTGTGACGCTTTGTTTTCTCTTAAGTACCTACATAACATGCTCGAATTTCCCTCTCGGCTAGCAAAACCTAAAGTCTTTCTATTTGGCTCTTTACAGAAAAAGCTTCCTGCCGCTTGAGCTAGATACTCATCCCCACTCTTGGGGTGATGAAAGAGTGTGTGGCACACAGAGGTTATGGAGTGTGCCCATGCTTACGTGGCCCGTCAGTGGCTAACACCAGGATTTAAATCTGGGCAGCTTGACTGCAAGTCTATGCTCCTAAAGGCATACTGCTTTCTATACTCTTCTACCCAGCGGCGACCTCCCCAGCACCTCATGACCAAACAAGTGACTTACGTGCCTGTAGAATCTACTGCCACAGCCCGGACCCCTCCACGATGACAGAGAATCTTTGCCAGTGGCTCCTTCATGGCTGGACTCCATAAGGACACAGTTCCTAGATGTGAGAGAAGAGGAGCTGAAGTTATCAACAGGCGCTAAGGGGATTATACCTGGGAAAGATGGGGTCTCAAGGCCAACAGGTATCAAGAGAGAGGAACAGGGGCTATCTAAAGGGATGTGCAAAGTGCAAATATAGAAGCAAAGCAGGTCAGGATGATCAAAGAGTCAAAGCTCAGCTAGAGACCAACCGTTGCTGTGTCCGAGATGGATAACAGCATTGTAAGGGTTCTTAGTCATGACATCCAGCCGTCCAGCCCGAGCATTCAGAGCTGCCACGATCTTTCCCACTGACACATCCAGGTAGGTCAGAAACCCTGTCTCTGACTGAGAGAAAGAGAGAGATCAGAATGAGTCCTGATTGCCCTCTGTCCTTCTAGTGGGATCCCAGAGAAGAAGCAGTCTTCTCAAGGGCTGCCGCCCAGTCCCCGTGTTCCATTGCCACTCACGGCCGTGGCCAGAAGGAAGTGAAAAGGCAGGAACTCAAGCCGCGTGACACGGTCACAGCGGCGGATACAGTGGAGCTCGATGCCCTGGTTGTCATAGATGTGAAGCCAACGATTCTGAGCGACGGCAAACAGTGCCTCTGAATGCAGAAACCTGGGAGGAAGGCAAGAGTGGTTCAGTGGGACAGGGGTCAAGGGACCGTCATTCAATCGAGAATGGGATGCCTCGCCCCCCCACTGACCGGATGTCCCGCACTGCCTCCATGACGTTGATCTCACACATGAGCCTCTTTGTTACCCAGTCAAGGGTGGCCACATGACCCCGGCGCCCTCCAAAAGCCAGGTGTCTGTTAGAGGTGGGGAACAGGCAGTGTCAGTGCAGGGAAGCACCGTGACTCAGACCATCTGAGGTCTGCCCCACACCAGCCCCTCCTCTCTAATGAGACATTTTTACATGCTCAACCTCACATGCAAGCAAATCACAGGACCCCCCCCCCCCCCCATCATCGGCCTAAACATACACTGGCCTGGCTGAGGTGAACATGGCTGAAGTGTTTAAGGAGATGCAACCATATCCTAGTTCAAGAGTCACTGACATCCAGCCTTACCTTCCAGTTCGGGAGTAATTCAGTCTGTAGGGTCCAAACTGCCGCAAGTTCAAATCAAAGTGCTAGGAAAGGGAATATCATTAAAAAAAAAGGGGAGAGAGAGAAAGTCAAGAAATAATTGGCTTCTTTCAATAATTCCCTCTTGTAGTCCCCACTTCCGTCTTGCTCTGCACCACCAATGTAGCCAGTAGCCCCTTTTCCAATCTCAGACTCACCTTGGCTGCACTTGCAATATCCACAGCCTCCACAATGTCCACCTGGCGTATCTTTGCCGTGTCCTCCCCATCCTCCCCTTCCAGAAACCTAGAATTGAGTATTAGCAGTAAAACTTCCTAATATGAAGTGGGTGTACCAGCGTGAAAATGATAAGGGACAGCCCCATAAAGCAGGGCCTGGGGAGGCCCACACGAGAGTCCACTTACCCGGGTTCCTCAGCCAGAAGCAGCTCAGAGCGAGCAGCTTTAATGCTAATTTCCTGTTCCTCAGCTTCAGCCACTTCAAGTCGGCTTCGGGTTTTGGATTTCGAATGCGGCAGCTATAATATCGTTGGTGGTGGAGAGTTGAGAGAAGAACTAGACATTATGTAGGATTCCGCGAGAGCCACACAGCCCCCCTCCATCCCCACTCATATACTCTCGGGCTGCAACCCTTCCCCACTCTCTGGCTGGTCCTCACCTTTTTGGATTTGTCAATGCGACAGAACTTCTGAGCCACCTCCACAGGGATGGGGGCAGGGCCTGGAAATGGATCCTGGGCCTGGGGAAGGAGGTAATAATTAGAAGACAGGCTGGCTGACCCCCAACCTCGCACGCGTAAAGGCGACTTGCCCCACCACCTTATCAGGTCCCAGGCTCACCCCGGACAAACTCCGCTGAGGCTCCGGATTCCTCAGCTCTCGGGGTTTCTTCGGAGGCTGAGCTCTGGAGAACCGAGACTTTTTTTGGGATGTTAGTGTTCTTTGGCCTCTGGTGGCGGAGCTCACGATTCCTTTCTTGTTACTAGGGGGCCCCGGAGAAGCTCCGGCAGCGGTCAGACTGGTTTCTTCCTCCCAGTACCTCCGGGTTTCTGCAGGCAGAGCAGGAGCTCTGTAACCCCAGCAGCCCAGTGCCGCGTCCTGCCCCCGCGACCCCACAGCTAAAAACTTCTCTTCCACCCAAGGGAGGTCTCTACCTTCTTCTTGGCCTGAAGTCTGTTCTTCTTGGGCGGGACATCTCTGCTCGGTTTGGGGACTGTCTCCATCTAGCCCACCCGAACGACGATCCACGTGCAAAACTCCTCTCAGCTGTCCCACAGTCGGCTTGGAAACTCCCGGAAGTCGGCCTCATCAATCAGCGCCTGCAAATTAGATCTGAAGCCTTCTAAGCGCCATCTTAGCCGTCTTGTTTTCTCTCTTCTCTCTCTCTCTTCTCTCTCCTCACTCCCTCCCTCCTCCTCCTCCCTCTCCCTCCCTCCTCCCTCCCTCCCTCTCTCTCTCTGTCTCTCTCGAGGGGCGGGGCTGGCGTTGGCCCCGCCATCTGGAGCAGCAGCTTATGCCCGAGTAATGAATGAAAAGTAGTCTGAGGCTGGGGCCCAAGAAACAATACAGTTTCTCTTTCCGGCTTCGTTTCCCCATCTTGCCTAAACCTTCCCGAGTCCAGTCTTTTTTGGCGGAACACCATTCATTAAACCTGCCCAAACTACAGTTCCCGACATGCGTAGGAGGACAACTTCCGGCACCCTCTTTTCCCAGCATCCTTTGTTTACTTCCAGGTTTAGTAATAGTGAAGGGAGAACGTGAGTAGGGCTGGGTTACGGTTGAGGGGTTTGGGGGTCTTAGCCTCAGCCGCCTCCCCCTGGGACCGGGATAGAGTGGCTCTGCGGGAAGGGGAGAGGCTGCGGTGCCCCGGGAGGGTGTCTCTCAACAGTGCTGTCATTTCCGCAGGCCAGGCCAGAAAGGGGAGCTTGAGTACCTCCCAGAGTGAGACCCTGCGCCCCTCTCCCGCTCCCCGCAGGCCTTCGTCCCCGCCATGGCTGAGCTAATCCAGAAGAAGCTACAGGGAGAAGTGGAGAAATATCAGCAGTTACAGAAGGGTAAGGGAGCAGGGTCGGTGTGGCCTCGCCACAATCCCTTCACTCACAGTCCAGAGCCAAACCAAGATAATGTTTCTGCCCGAGTCCCCGCGGGCAGCTCCTTCCCCCATCTCAATGCTCTTCCCCACCCACTGACCAGCCGCCTCGTCCTTGCCTACTTCCTCAGCTCCATTTTGTTCTCTCCAGCATTGGGGTCAGGCGGCACATTTGATGTTGCTAATCAAACCTTTCCCCCCCAACCCCCAGACTTGAGTAAATCCATGTCAGGGCGGCAGAAGCTTGAGGCGCAACTAACAGAAAATAATATTGTGAAGGAGGTGAGAGAGGGATTTGCGGGGCGGGGTGGGGGTGGGGGGGGCGAGGAGGGACCTATACTGGCAGTGATTGATCATTTATGTCCCATCCCTCCACCAGGAACTGGCCCTGCTAGATGGGTCCAACGTGGTCTTTAAACTTCTGGGTCCTGTGCTGGTCAAACAGGAGCTGGGAGAGGCTCGAGCCACAGTGGGGAAGAGGCTGGACTATATCACAGCTGAAATGTGAGTCTTTCTTCCACCAGCCTGCAATGCACCCGACAGGGCTGGGGGAGAGGTGTTCCAAAACCATTATAGTGTAGCTCCAGAGTACCCCCCTCCCCCCGGTTGTCCAGTTCCTCCAAACCCTCCCCCAGATCTCAAAGTTCCTCCCCATCAATCTCTTCCTTGCTTTCATCACCTTCCTTAGTAAGTCCCATTAATTTCTCCTTATTTGCTTGTCTCTATTGCCTCTCTTCAGTAAGCGATATGAATCGCAGCTCCGCGACCTCGAACGGCAGTCAGAGCAACAGAGGGAGACCCTGGCTCAGCTGCAGCAGGAGTTCCAGCGGGCCCAGGCAGCCAAGGCAGGGGCTTCTGGGAAGGCCTGACCCCGTGGTGGGGGGAAGGGGAGGGGAGGGAATGAGGCAGCTCTAGGGTCTATACTGTAGCTAATAAAATGTGAAAACACCTGGCTGTTTTCTGACCAGCCACTTCTGTCATAATTGTCTCCCATCTGTCCCCGGAGCCCCTTTCACTTTATATATACACCACCTATATTACTCCCTCAGGTCCCAAATTCTTATAACTGGAATCTCTCTGTGGCAGAGTAATCCTTTCTTCTTTCTTGAGAGTAAAATCTGAAATGTCTCAAACCTACTTCTTGCCTGTATGTGCAACGCTGAATTCTCCCTTATCTTGGGTGGCAAACCCCTTTAAGAAACACGGGAAGGGCATTTGCATCACAACAGTTGTTGGGAATGTCCGTTCAATTGCCGGACTCAACAGTAATCTAAACAGACTGCAGGGTGAAACGTGGTGACCCTCCTTGCTATGATTTCTTGCCATCTTCCAAATAGCCCTGGCATCTCTCGTCAGTCTCTTTCTGGAATGTGTTTGAATGTAGCTTAGACGGATTTGAAATCCCAACATGGGATGCACCAAGTTTAGACAGTATCCACAGAGTTGTTCTTCCTTTTCTTTGTCCTAAAATTGTTTCTTACAAATTTTCAACCGGGGGTTGTCCTTCATATGGATCAGTTTAATTGGGTGGGTGGTACTTGACATGGGTCTGTGACAACTGCAGAGAAAAACTTAAGAGCAAATAAAAGGACTGGGGTGGAGGGGTTGCTGGGGAGCAATTTCCTCACAAAACTTGTGAGGAAACTGTTTTCACCAACACCTCACTTTCAGCAATGGGATAGAAATGGGGAGAAAACACTGGCCTCCTTCTTGTTACTTGGCGTCTACCTTCAGCCAACTCTCTACCCCCACTCCCAGCAGCTAGACCATACACACTGCAACGACAAGGGAGTAGAATTTACGTAGTGTTTTGGTTTATTATCTTAGTGTTGTCACAGTGACAGGAAACCCCACAGTAGGAAAAAGAACTCCTACTAGAACCTACTTCTTGCCATCCCCTCTCCCCAGGGCTCAGAGCCTCTAGGCTTTTCTTCTCTCCCTCCTTGCAGGCCTTTCCTTGGCCCTTGGTATGCTAGAATGTGGCCAGGAATCAGAAACCGATTCCATTTTCTACCACTAGCTGTGTGCCGCATTCATGGAAGGTAGGGAGCTACACACAGGTATCCAACTTGGTTACCAAGATTACCAGTTCCCCCAAAGCTGAATCCCTCAGCCGTCTGGTAAACCAGTGGCACTTCACTGCCCCAGGGTGGTTGGCCACCTTTCTGGGTTTCTTCCCAGTGCAACATGACTGCCACCATTCAGGATGGCTACCCACATCTGCTATGGCCACCATGAGTTCTGTTGTGCCGGCAGGGCTTCCTCCTCAGAACAGTGCCCGGGCAATCTTCCTCCCTGTGGCCTTGATCCTGGGAAAGGAACCCCCTCCTCCCTCACTTGGGGGAGTTCCTGAGGCAGAGGGGCTGCTGGTGAGACCCAGTGTAGCAAGAGAGGGCCTTCGCCGCTGCCGTAGAAGGAAATCGTGCGAAGCTCCATCCATAGCGTAGAAGACGTTAGCCGAGGGTGGGATGGTCAGCTCTGTGTGTTCAGAGAGGGAGTGTCGAGAACAAACATGGTCATTCCCCCCACAACCACCTGGTTGTGGACGCCTTCCCACTGCTGGGCATCCCTCTCCGCCCAAATCTGACTTCCTTCATGGCCTCTCACCTCGCTCCCCCGGTAGCAGCTGCACTAGCTCATACTCCGAAGCCACTGCAGAATCACGATTGTTTTTTTTAAGGACACGACTAATGACACTCGGAGCCTTGTCCTGGCTTGTCACCTGGTAGGACAGACACCAAAAGGACAATAAATTGGCCATCACCTCTGCTTTCTAGCCTTTCAGTTCTAACCACTGATCCCAACCAAAAATGGTTACCGGTGTCAAACACTTTAGAATGAACAGGGAAACCCTATACGGTGGTTCCCTGTACCGCACAAGCCTATACTCCATGGTGTCCAGTGAAATAGGGCTGCTTCCCTATGACAAAACTGCTGTTGGTTCTGAAAATCTAATATGGCCACCAAAATTCAAGGTGCAGCAGCTAATGCAAAGTAGCCTTTAAAATAAAACAGCTGCCAGAACCTTGGGGAGCCTGGGTGACTCAGTCAGTTAAGCATCCGACTCCTGGTTTCAGCTCAGGTCATGATCTCACGGCTCTTGAGATCAAGCCCCGAGCTGGGCTCCACACTGACAGCATGGAGCCTGCTCGGGATGCCCTCTCTCTCTCCCTCTCTCTCCCTCCCTCCCTCTGTCCCTTCCCCACTTATGTGCGCACACTCTCTCTGTCCCCCTCAAGGTAAATAAATAAATAAATAAGAAAACAGCTGCCATAACCAAAGGTCAGAATTAAAACTAGAATCATCCTCTTCTTGGCTATTCAAACCTAAGACAACACCTGTAGCCCCACAAGGCATCATCCTTCACCCCTACCCCCAGTCCACAGCTTCCTCACCAAGATGCTCTTGTAGACGCTACCATCTTCCCCCAGCTCCATCTGGACTCGGATGATTCGGCAATCAGAGGCCCCTGGCCCAGGCCCCCCTCCCCCACATCCAGTCCCCCTGGAGGCCCCCTCTGCACCCCCACTGAGTGGGGAGCCACAGGAGGCAGAGCGGCGGTGACCTCGAGAAGGCCTGGGAGAGGACGCTGGGGGAGAGAGGTGGCTGGGGTCAGCCGGACTGTGCAAAGATGGAGTGCTTTCCAGGGCAGAGTCCAGAGATGAGACAGATGGCCACTTCATGTGCTGGGGACAAACAACATGAGGGACTGGCATGAAGGCAGAGAAGTCAAGCAAGAAACATTCACAAGGGCAGGTTCAGTGTTGAGTCAGAGGTCAGAGATCAGGAACAGGGCTCACCTGGGCCAGCCGCGTCAGCAGAGGGGCAGGGGCTCCAGGTACGTCACCTCCCCCGACACTGGGCCGGTCCCAGGAGACAAGAGGGGTGGGACCTCCAACAGAGCCCAGAACCCTGGAGTGGCAAGAGACGGGGAGGGTCAGAAGAAGAAGGGCTCTTCTCCCAAGTAGCTTCCCCAAGATGCTACCCCCCCTAACCGCGGACTCCCTCACTCTGTCCACTGTGAGATGACCAGCGTTGGCCGAAGCACCCGTGGGGCAGGAGGGTCACTGGTACCAGGTGGCTCCACCTCACAGGATACTCGATGGCTGTGAAGGGGGGGAAATGGGCAGAAGTCAGGATGTGACACACCGATCCCCACACTCAACCCCAGCCCTGGAGTCCCAACCTTGCCCAGCCAGTCACCTCTGGGCCTCTGTCAGTGGCCGGAGCCCCTGTAGCCACCGCTGAATATCAGGGTCAGGTCGGAGGTCATAGCCACGACATTCGTTCTGGAGCCGCCGCAGTTCCGAAAGGACAGCAAACTCCTAGGAAGGAGCCGACAGTCTGCAGGAGCCAAAACTCAGGGACCCCCGACTTTCCCCATCTCCCTCCCCTTCCTGGGACATGACTAGAGATGTCTAGCATCCGGCCCATGCACTCCCCTCACCTTCCTCCGCTTGTCAAAATTGATGTATCCGTTCTGCAAAAATAATGGGGATGGGGTGAAGCCCAACCCTGCCACAGAGAGACTACCCCTTTCCAAGCACACACACATCCACATTCAACTCACACACACTTCATTCACTAGGCCTCTGACTCCTCCGTCCTTTCCCTGGCTCCCCCTCACTCCCGTCATGCCCTAAGCCCCCTACTTTACCCTTGAAATTGAATGGTCACAGGTAGAAAGGGTGTCCATTTCATAGATGAGAAAATCAGGGCTCAGAGAGAATGAGGAACTTGCCCAAGATCTCAATGTTTGTTTATTTAACAAATGCTACATATGCTTACATTTAGGGCATGTTCTAAGCACTTGCCAAACATTAATTCACTTAATCCTCATAATAACAGACTGACATAGACACTGTCACTGGTTTCCTGTTTACAGATCACTAGGCACAAAGAAGTCAAGCAACTTGCCCAAGTAACAGAACCAGAATTCTGGCAATCTGGCTCGAGCCCTGGAGTTCAAGCGCTAACACCCCACGGCACCTTTCTGGAAGGTCTGTCTGGCCCTGAGGCCCATTTGTTCCCTCATCACAATGCACACATTAACACACACACCACCGACCTCCAGCTCATCCTTGGAGGCTGCATCCAGCATCACCAGGTCCTTCAAGAAGGTGCCAAGATATGGGACCACACCCTGAGGTCAGAGGTCAGGATTAGACCCCCCGCCCCTGATCTGAGAGCTCTCCATTGCTCTGCACTTTCCTATCCCATTGTCTTGAAGGACAAATTTAATTCCCCCACCCCGCTATGCCTCCCCTCTACATCCCTCAGTCTGCTGCCCCCCACACACTCCTTACTCCTTCACAACCACCCCCCAACTGGTCACTCACCCCACCCCGGGAGCCAGACCTCGGGGCCTTCTTGGAATTTGGCTCCAGAGAGGGCTGCAGCTTCGCCTCCTGGGCGGGGGGAGGGAGGGGACAGAACAAGGAGATATAGGTGTGGCACGTGCCGCATGGGGAGCAGGGGTGGCTGGGAACACCAGGGAATAGGGCCTCACCTGCAGGAGGAGCTCTCGGCTCTGGGAATAATTATCCTCCTCGGAGAAAATCTGGCAGAGGCTGGAGAAGACTCTGAGGCTGTCCCTGAGGGGTGGAAGGCAGCAACCTTGAGGATGGGCCAGGCTCACCCCCACGCCTCTTCCCAGCCCTCAGCTCCAGGCCGGTGCCCCATCCTCCCCACCTGGCTGCTTCCCCCCAGGCTGCTCGAAGCCTGTGGATGGGGCTGGACTGCAGGGCCGACACAACAGCATAAACCGAAGAGAAGTTTCGGAGCAGACGACACTCCTGTGGGGGTCACAGAGGCAGGCCAGAGCTTTGGGACCTCTCTCTCAACACCAGGGTCCCCAACGAGGCCAAGCCTCTCTCTTACCTCTGCCACACGGATCCACTTCTCCAGGAGCCGAGCCCTCTGGGGAGGACGGAGTGGCCGAATGGTCACCTCTCCAGGCCCCTCTCCAGTTGAGGTAGCCCCCAGGACAGAGCTGACCACAGCCCCTGCCACCTTGTTGAACTGTGTGACAGTAGCTCTGACGGATGGGCAGAGGTGGGAATGTCCTGGCCGGTCTCTATGACCCCACAGGCTCCCCAGGCACTGAGAGGGGACCAGATTGAGAAACAGCTCCTGCAGGGCAGAGGTCAGAGGTTAAGGTTCATAGTCAAGCGAGGTCAGCCTTCCAATATCAAAGGTGTGAGGATCTCAGATGGCCAAGGAACCAAAGGGGCACAGGGTGTGAAGGGTAACAATCAAGGGGAAAGGGAGAAAGGTCAAAACTGAGTGGACAGAGGAAGCTGGGAGCTGGATCAGGAAGGGTTGGAAGCAAGGAAAGGATCTGGAGTGAGGGAGAGGTTAGTAAGGGGGTGGGGGGGGGATGGGGTCAGAGGTCAGGGTCTCACCGCATCTAGCAGGGTCAGCTGTTCGGCCAAGTGGTCAGCGAGGAACACCAGGACATCCGTGGGGTCAGCAGGGGGGTCGCCGGGGAGGGCCAGGGACTTAGGAAGGTCTGGGGCCTGGGGGTCCACCCGGGACCGGAGGTTGCGGATGAGGTCAGCGCTGCCCCCCCCAACACCCTCCCCTGCTGCATACCCTGTCCGAAGCAAGAAGCTCTCAAGCCGGTCAAGCTGACCCTTGACCTCAGAGCCAAAATCCTCAGGGTGAGAGGCCAGCCAGGTTGACAGTACAGAGATGGCTACCCTGGGAGAAGGGGAAGCAGCCAGGGGTCAGGTATCAAGCTGCAGCTCAGCCAGAGGGAACTGTGAGGTTAACAGTCGGGGTCACTCACCCTATTGTCCTCTCTAGTTCATCAGTAGGATGAGATTCAAGAGCTTCCAGCCTGGAAGAAGAGATTCTATCTGCCCATTTTTTCCCAACCCCCAGTGGCTTTGACTACTTTGGTGGGATTTTCTGGCTTTAGAAAGCCAGATACCATCTTGGTCCCTTATGACCCTGACCTGTCAGCCACAAGCCCTAGCAGGGCAGGCGTGGAGGTGAAGGCCCGGTGGGTGGCCAGGAAAGCTGATGTGAAGGTCACGTCAGCCCCTGATGTCCGAGCATCCAGCAAGTGTCTGACCAGGGCCTCCAGAGTGCCAGCTCGGAGCCTTCGAGAGGAACGCGGGGGAGGCGTTGGGGCCTGTTGGAGACAGAAGGACAATTACTGACCCTTTTTTCACCTTTGCCCCTAGATCTCTGGGGAAAATCCCAGACCTAGGAGATGGTCCAGGCTCGTCATAGGAGATTCAGAGAGGGCAAAAGACTTGATCTAAGTCACATGGCAGAGTCCAGGTCTCTAGACCTCCAACTTAGCACTCTGGCCAAAAAGCTGGCCAGAGGAAAGGGGGCTGGGTGGTGATGATGGGTCAGAGGTGAGAAGCCAAAGTCAGGATCTCACCAGGGGATCAAGAGGCCGATACTGGCGGCTTGTGACAGTAAAGATGGCACCATCCTCCTCCTCATCCCAGACGGACACAGGGGCCTGGAGGAGCAAGGAAGGGGAAGTCAGACAATCCGACACCACCCCCCACAGGCCCCAGCCCTCACCCCCAGGCCCTACTCCTCCCTCTGTACCCCTCACCTGTGGTGGCGGGGGACAGTACCAGCGAGTGCGAGGGGTGGGGGGGGCTGGTGACCCCAGGTCTCCCCCACTGGGGCCCAGACAGCCCCCCCCAAGCCGCCTCAGGGCCCG